GCGACATTTCTTAGGATTACGACTTAATCTTCAACGGATATGTTATTGATCAAATCAATTGTTAATAAACTAAATAAATATAACGCAATAATAATCCAACAATTATTGCTCCTTAAGATATCGTCAAAGATTTCTTCTACTTTTTTTTTCGCACATATTTTTTTATTTCAATATCCCCCAGACTAAACAAATCGTAAACATCCAATAATTACAGTAAAACAGACATAACTTTGATTTTATATGCTTTTCTATTGACCGTCAGAATTTATTGTTTATTTTATATGAATTGACATATATTAGCAATTCGCCTGCAATAACTCGGCATTATAAAATACGTTTTAATACCAATGTCTTGTTAAGAGTTAAAGCTATGGAGACATTAATACAGGTTTTAATACGTTAGCTGAATCTCGGAGTACGTCGTGTTAACTGTTAGTTAATGCTACTTTTACGCCTAGAGGTCGCTATGTGTTTTGTGTTTATTGTAACAGACTTGATTATTAATTGCGCGAAAGTGACTATATAGATAAGAAGCGTAAATTATCATATATTTCACGAAATTCGCATGAAAAACAGGCATTGGCTTTATCAAAGGAACATTTCCTGTTATAACACCCAACGATGTCTTACAAAATAGCATTTATGCATTTATTTACTTTGATAAAGAACAATGTTAAGTGGATTCAATAGCAATGTTACGTCATGCGCATGCGTATTTTGTGCACCTAATTGCTACCGATGAATATACAGAATTTGAAATGAACTAGCATTCAGATTCACGAGAAAAGAATAACCAAACAAATAAACATTTCTTCACTGATTTTCATATATTGTATACCAAAATTTGAAATTACTGCATATAATGCAATTTTGAAAATAACTGATAATGTCGTACAAGGCTACAAAGTATAAAGATTTAAAACAGGATTTGCTTTTAAAGTTGCGTGTGTTCGTTCGTATGTTGGGTTGAGTGGTTGGTGTGGGGTTGGTTTTGGGTGTTCATACATACCGTGCTCATAAAGATTTTTTTCACTAAAAGTTCATTTAAAAATTACGCAGCAAGATTTCTTTTCCCCTATACTACAGACCGTGTTCGACTAGACACTTGAAAATCTCGTTTACCCTATTGTAATCTTTTTAATAGGATGTATATAGCTCTTGTTTATACTGTTTCCATCCAAAAAAACCTCAAGTTGTAATGTGAAATATTGTATCCTATAAACCACCCACATTGTTAAGTATAGCTCGTCTCTATGTATATATACATATATCCCATCTCAACGCTCAACGGGAGCGAGCTATTGAAAACGCACGAAATGTGCGTATCTCATTAACTGTACAGCATCGCGCCATCTTGGAACCCTGTAAGTACGCGTTCTTACAAAAATGATCTCGTCATATCTTATATTTCATATATATCAAAGGAGGTTCTCAACTGCGAAATGGACATTCCAGACAAATTTAAACGGTAGCCTCGTAAATATTATGTTAGGGATCAAAAAGGCACAACATATCATTTTTCTCCGAAACACCGCGTGCACCTGTTCGCGAAACTTGCTACCGCTAATTTACACGCGTTTTGTCATTCGATCCGTGTAATGTATGTCTATTGTTTTTCAAACGCAGATGAACAAACTTAATTTTATTAATTGAAAACCTTGGTGTAAAGCGCGGAAGTGAATTGAACGAGTTCATATAAATTATGCCTTTGTGTTCATTAATCATATTCGACAAACTTCATGGTACATTTTTTGCTATTTTAACGATTGACAATCGCTTTGCAATTCAAATCAATCTGTCACGTCGATCGATGTTAACGATCCTAATGAATGTATTTGACGTACTCAACATAAATAAACAAGAAAACATCATATTGTCCTTTAGCTAGGTTATTTAACGTTTGTTATAATTGTAAATCTGACAAAAATGTATTTTTTTGAAACGCCGTTTTTCGATCGTCTGCTGCACTTTTTCCCAGCGTCTTACAAAGAATCAGAAATGACCTCGTCCGCATACATTCATATTTCCCCACACACAATTTGACCAATATGCAAAAGACTTGCCTTGAAATTGAATAGAGACTGCCATAGCGGTCATAAAAATATGAGAAATTACCGTACTTCAATTATTTATTTCTGAATACAGACTAGGATAAAAGCCGTCACGGCGGTACCGTTATTACGGTATTCATATCGACCTCCTCAGATTATATGGTGTTTGAATATTGTAGGATTTATTGATATTTATCTAATAATATCACTTTTTATGGGGTTTTATCTGTCTGTCTATCATTATCGTGGACTGTTTGCACAATTTGATAGGCTGCCGGACTGAGGATTAAACATTTAATACTGCTTGCAGAAATAAATTCATTTTCTATATTGTCTCTTTTTTATGTGAACATAAAGATTTGTTTTTGTTATATTTCCTCTTTTTCTGTGAAAGAAAGTAATAAATATTCGAATTCCTTGACGAACATTTTCAAGAGGGGATAAAATCGCGCCTTTAACAATTTAACTTGAATTGTCGTTGTTTGTTTGTTGTTGTTTTTTTTTTAATTTTATTTTTGGTAACTACTTTTAATTAATTTCAATTATTGCATTAAGCTGTGATGTTTTATATAAATAACAACTAATTTACCAATAAAAATCGAAATATATCACCGGAATTAGTACACGCGACCAGGTTCAACCGTATTTCATTCGCAAATTCATTTGACCTTTTTTTATTATAAATGTCATTTAATAAGTTTATACAAAATTTCCTACAAACAGTTCATAAATTATATACCGAGATTGTATTTTTCGTCCTCGGGCGACAGTTTCACCAAAAACAACTTTCCCGCCTTTAAACAACATCAAAGTTAACCTTATGACAAAAATGATTTTTCAACGTTCTTGTTTTCTTATTTACGACTTCATTTCTTTCCTCGTTAGGAACACCATCGAGCTAAACAATTACTTGTCATCTTTATGAACTTTACTTTACGCACTGTTTACAAGTCACAAATAGTACTGATAAAAACTATACCATTTCTAGTAAAATCAACAAAATCGCATTATTTAGCTAAAATTTGACTTAGGGAAAAAATAATGAGTTTGGAATCAAGTTATATACATGTAAGTCTTTTTTTATGAAAATAAAAGTTAAAAAAAGTTTTTTTTATGAAAATAAAAGTTAAAAAAAGTCTTTTTTTATGAAAATAAAAGTTAAAAAAATCTTTTCAAGGCTAAGGAGACTATTGAATATCAACAAAATTCATTATTATTATATTTACATGTACATGCATAAACAATTATATATTTTCCAAGTCTTCAGAATTTAGATTATAAGATTTAGTTCTCAAAACTTTCATTTGTTCTTGAAACTCAAATATCAAAAGTACATACAAAAAATACGGACAGAAAAAATATGCTTTTGTTATGTTAAAAGATTGAGTCTTATGCTGAATTGTGGATTGCATATACATGTACCCGAATTATGGAAAATTATTCTAACACGAAGGGAAATATTAATGTATCAAAAAAAATGTATATATTCAATACACTTGTGATAAATGTGGGAAAACACAAAATTTGACATAAACGGTGATTAATACACCTTCAAATTTGACAATGTTACACAACAACAATATGTTAAGTGACAGTCTGTATGCTCCCGAAAACGTTTATACGTCTTTTTACGTTGTTTCACCTATACGTCATAAAAATGACAATACCTCAGCCGTACATCTAAATCATTTATCGATTAACGTAATATTGACTTTATGACGTAAGTATTTTTATAACGTCCCGAGCGTTTGACCCGGACTATTTTAAATTAGACATTGATGGATAAATCAAAGAAAATTCTGACGGCGGCTAGACGTTTTTCGTCTGCTACAATGCAGATTTTTTTGGTTTTCTTTGATATCAAATGTAACTAATTGATGACAATTTCATAATAATGATCATTGACAAATATGATAAGTAGATCTATACGTACACATAACAAACAGACACGGTGATATTTATATACTTTTAGTTTGGCGTTTGTTGCAATCAGTTAATATACGTTGCAATTATTAAAATTCTTATGATGGGACTTCCGTTCGTTCAAATAATAAATAAAGAAATGTTAACAAAATTTTAGAGAAATAGATGAGTAGAAAAAAAGAGTCTTGTTTTTTAGATTTTTTCAAATGATGAACAGCATCGAATGAATTCACTGCCAAGAAATGCGCATGTTTTTATCGCAGTAGCATGCACCTTTCAAAAAACAACAACAATAGAAGCACACGATCAGAATTCATCAAAATATTAATGCATCACAGTCATCCATTTTTTTATTCTTGCATAAATCACCACGAACAGCCATGTTTAGTCTTCATAACGGTCGGTGGGGGGGGGGGTAAATTTACAAATTATTCCTACAATCGCGTTCTTCTACTATGAGACTCTCTGAGACAAATTGAAATCGATTACCTAGACTTAACTATGGACGAACTGGTCTCACTTTGTTCACAGAACACATTAAGATGGTGTCCGGAGAGCAATAATATATTGCCTGCATTTTTACGACTCTCTCAGACACGAGACAGTCCAAACCATTGTGTGTAGGGCAAACCTACAATCATAAGATAAATCATAGGCTTCTAGATACTTTATTCATTATAGAAACATGATTCGGCTTTGATATTGTGAGATATTTTCGATTATGTTTCAAACTACGTATACAGATCAATATATAAATATCACTTGCTTATTTCAAAAGATTTGTGAACTTTTTGTTGTGTTTTGTTTGTTTGTTTGTTTTGTTTTGTTTTTGCGTACTGGACAGCAAAACACACCCAACCTTAACCGTTTTCTTCCACCTTTATTGGGCATTTAACCATCACCTTCCTCCTTCAAGTTGCTTTAGTCAAGGTCAAAGGAACGCGACCTTCAAAAGACCTTGACCCAAATCTGTTGCTATATTTGTACATTCGTAGACTATATAGTGGTTTCCGTTTCTATTTTCAGAAACAAAAGGCAGAAAGAAAAGAAAGCCGTACACACGTTACCAAACTATGGTTCTGGAGAACGAATTTTTGAACAGCTCTTGTATTACGAGACAAAAACGATGGGAAATATCATGTAAATTACAGCTCACTGAGCGTCAAGTAAAAGTCTGGTTTCAAAACAGGCGAATGAAAAGAAAGAAATTAAATGAAAGAGCAAAAAATAGACTCAGAGAAGAAACTGATATAAAAGATGTTCCCCAATTACCACAAGCACATAGCCAGCACCCGCAGCATTCATTGGCTGCCCATTCTCATTCGCTTGCGCAACAGCACCTACAAGCCTGACGCTAGGCTATTTATAGATTGTGAGGGGGTTATCTCAAAACATTAGATATTGTCTGAGAAACGACTTGGCCGCTCGACCGAGTCAAAGTGCTAAAAGTGATGAAGAAATCTTAAATAAGATTAAGGTGCTTGAATAAACACTCGAAATGTTTATAGAAAAGTTTCAGAAAAAAAAGGTATCTAACCTAGGCGTCTGAAAAAATATGGCTATGCCAGTAGCTCCGATCTCTTGCCGGTATGGAAGGTTTTTTGCTCAGAATATTAAGAGCATAATGTCCCATTTAGGTTGGTTGTTGACCGACCTGAACTTATATACATTATTATACGTTGTGATTTAAGATTCCATGAGTTATTTAATATTATGTACATAATATGTGTATAATTATTGTGCACTTGTGTAGAAGTATTTAAAATAAAGTGAGAGTTTAAGTGCTATTGTGTTGTGTTGGGGACGTCAAATCAAGGACTACTTTCTTTGACGGACTATTTTTTGCGTCATTCATTGAATTGCCAGTGCCATTCGACCTAAAGTAATTGTGGTTTATGTGATATTTCCCTTAGTTGTATTGAATCTTAATTACCTGAGTTGTTTGTAACTAAGTTCTTTAGAGCCACGGGTTGGTAACGGCGTGCATCCGGGTGACTTAAAAACTTTCTGGAACGCTCACGTGAAAAAAGATGACAACAAGAAAACTGCGATTTGAGAAGCCACAACAACAACAAAAGCTACGACAGAGCAACAAAAATACACGTGAGAAAAATATAGTTATTGGGCCATTGAAAAATGCCATTCTTGGTTAGATGCAAACATATCTTCAAAAACGTTCCAGTAAGCGCCAGGCGTGCGAAAAGAAAGCATACGAAAAAAGCAGACGATAAATATCGGAGCAAAGTGATTCATTGTTTACACGCTAAAATCAGGAAGTGAGTATTGACCATCGTATAGGACAAAAGTTCCCCACTGTTGACAACAGCTTGTAAGAACAATCCTCGAGATAAACTATATAAAAAGTATTTATATACTTAAACTGTACTTTAATCTATACAGATTAAGATAAAGAAAAACTTCTGTTGCCGAAGATTTTAAAAAGGACAAATGCAGAAATAATATTTTTGTTTCTTGATCAATTTGATATTGCCTAAACAATTGTCATTATCATTTCCATTTTATAATTTTAATGTTAATTAAAAACCAAAAAAAGATAGAATAAATATCATTTTTAAATACGTTTAATTCCAGACGGACTAAGCCTATACATTTCTGCGTAATTTTAGATGAATTTTTTTCCTTAAATTGTAATAAAAAGAATATGTCAGGTAATTCTGTTGGTACCCACGGAAAACTATAATATAAGTTCTGATTCATTGATATTTGTGGATTGTTGTTAAAAAATCTTTGTAAAGATGAATGTACATATTGTTATCAATGTTAAAGTGTGCACTGCAATATTAAATGTTATGTGAAATATAAATTACAAATAATTAGGAATGTATGGTAACTCTGTATGTAATACATGTCCGCCATGCATAATCTGTAGAAAAAATGCTTTTTTTTTCTAAAATGCTGTGTTGAAATTAAAGTTATTAAATTATATATGTACAACATCAGTGCTTTTAATGTGGATTTGTTAACGAAATAGTTTCATTATTCAAACGGAATATCTCTTATAAATAGACAGACAAATTATTTCAATAAGATAAGGCTTATAAGCACAGGATGACATAATTATAGCATATTTACATATTTGAATAATAACTAAACAAAGAAAATCACTTAATATAATAATTAATTGTTTTTCAATTTCTTCTTTTTAATTTTAAGTACCAGAATGAATGGTTCCATGTAAACTTGCGCTAAATTGAAAAATGTAATACGATTTCAAGACTATATATACGATTTATATATTTTCTAAACATGAAAGTGAAATACCCCGCTGGATATGATGTGATATTTCGTATAAACCATGACTTTAAAAGTACTGACTTACCCCCATGTTTAAAGTAACGGCAAAGCTTTAAAAAAATAAAGAAAAATAAAAAGAATTACAAATATCTTTACATAAGTAACATTGATTTAAATGTTTCTGTGAAGAAAATAAATATACAATGCTTAAATGTTTCACTGCAATGGAATACTTTAAAGTTTAAAATTTTCTCATACAATTTTTTATTCTATTTTTCAAATCATTTTTTTTGTACAGCCGAGAAATATGTCAGTGACACTTTAATGGAAACATATTATATTTAAGCTTTTTAGTATTATTATCATCGTCATCCGAAATCAGTAATGTTGAAGCTAAATAGAGCTTTGCCGCTACCTTAAATATATTTGAATGTTACCTCAAAATATGTATTATTTGTGACATGGCATTTTTGTATTGTTTGAATGTTTATTAATAGAATAATCATATGACATCATTGTTCTGAATTCTAAAAATAGATTTACAAACACTTAATGATTTTCTGTTGTTGTTTTTTGTCCATGACTATTTCTATTTTCACAATATTACATTTTATAGAAAACAAGATATGCATGTATATTTTGATTATAATAAATTATATGAATAACTTAATATAAGCCTTCAACTGTGTATAAAATATTAGTAATTAAACTTTTGACAGGTAATATGGCCCTAGATTAATGGTTGTTTGGAAATATATAACCCGAGCCGCTAGGTGAAGATTATATTCTAAACAACCGTTTATATACGGCCATATAACTTGTCAAGAATATTTATTATGAAGCAAACCTTCTTTATTTAAGAAAGAAATGAAATATTTTCATAAATTTACAAAAGCAGTGTTGATAGTTTATATGAACGTCATGATTATCCAATCAAAAGCGGCGTTTCAAACGTGCAGTATTATGTATCTTATAATACTGCACGTTTGTAACGTCATTTTTCATTGGATAATCGTGACGTTTATATTATTAGTTAAAAAATCGTTGACAGGTTATATGGCCCTATATAAACGGCTTTTTGTAAATATAACCAGAGCCGTTAGGCGAGGGTTATATTGCAAACAGCCGTTTTTTACGACCATATAACCTGTCAACGATCTTTATAACGAATTTATAATACAGCAAGCATCATTTTTAGAGACAAAAAGTTAGATTTCTTCATGAATCGGTAGGAGCCGTGTATATAAAACTATATAAACGTTACGATTAGCCAATGAAAAATGACGTTACAAACGTGCAGTATTATAAAATTTTATATACACGGCCATATACCGTTTATATCGGGCCATATAACCTGTCAACAATCTTTATAACTAATAATATAACCTGTCAAAATCCTCAAAAAGAACATTGCATACTTGAAAAGTCCATCAATGGAATAAATTTCAGGAACAATATTGCGATCCGTGTCTTTCACTATTTCACCGAGTTTGGAATTATAATGTATGTATGTCAAGCTAAGCTTAAAGGCACACTTTGCCCCAGAAATCTATTTTTTTAGAAATATCAAACATGCGTTAATAATGTAAGAATGTTTTAATTATGGATTTAGAGCATGTTAGACGTTTAATAGCGGAGGAAAGTAACGTGAATGGGCAGCAATGTGTCGTTAATGTAGCAAAATGTAAACAATGTAGTAATTTGCCCCTCGTACAAAATACTAATTCAATTGTTTTACTGTCACACAATTACAGAATAGTTTAAAAGCAACGAAAACTCTCATTAATGCAGAAAAAAGTCTACCAAGCTAAAATAAATGTCACAATGTCACAAATAGCATAATCGTAGATTCACTACCTTAAAACATTAAATGAAAAAGAGGATTTGAAAAAAGAAAGTTAATGTGTAAATTCATAGATGTTTTTCTATCACATACCTATACATGTAGTTTGTATCGACCAATTATTCATTTCATTACGGAAAGCATTCTTAAAGCAGCATGCCACCTGACAGATGCTAATTTTCATAAACTTTTTGAAAATATATGAATAAAGTAAAATATTGTGAAGTTAACACAATAACACAAGAAAGCAATTTACACAATCCACGTAAATAATCTGGTCAAAATATTCAAAAATAGCCCTAATTGCGTTAGTCACGCGGTAGAAATATAGTGATTAATAGTGCTAAACTAGTCATTATTCGCACATAACATGTAAATTACTTCAATCCTGAATTTTGTCACTTTTCTTAAAATCTTAGTACATCTTTCTTAAGATTGATTTTCTTAAAATATTTTGGCCAATGCATGCAGCTTTAAATATACACGTATAAATCTGGAATAGGAAAATTGCAAAGAAAATATACAAGAGATAGTTATAACAAATCATTGTATGCAGAAGGTGAGGACGTAAGGCTTAACTCTTCGCTAAAATTGAAATTTTATTGATCAAATTCTAAATTTGACTTTCAGGACAACATTAGTTTTGATCACTTTCTTTGAAAGTAAAAACGATTCTATTCTATTGTTTTTTATTTTTGTTATCAAATCCTACAACAAATTTTCGTAAAATGCAAAAAAATGCCAAAATTTAAAGTTGATTTTTTAATAATAAGTTCCGAATTTTATATCTAAAATAAATGAACATATTGCCTATTTCATCTTTTTATAGGCAATAAATAAAAAATTATATCTGTGACAGTTATGTTAAAAATCTAAATATGTTTTTTTAACATTTATGTATATCATCATCAAAATTATTTGAAGGTTAATTAAAAATTTCCTACGACTGGGAAAAATCTATTTTCAAATTTGAAATTAATAATATTTTATTCATAGATTTTAAAGAAAATAGGAGAGGGTAAGTGGGAAACCTTGGCAATTACGTCAATAATATATACATGTACATGTATAAGATCTAACATATTGCACGTGCTGATGCTTTTCCCAACAAAATATTATCTTATCTTCAACGAAAATAAGCAAATGAATTTAATAGACACGCAGAAATTTATCTACAAAATATTATCTTATCTTGAAAAAATGATTATACTTATATATTTAACCCGAAACAAACGACTTGTATCTTAAAAGGGAAATAGGCAATTGTATGGTATACACCTAACGAAATTTGCTCTACAAAATGTTTTTTTATGTCACATTTCATATACGGTTTAAAATTTTTCTACCGAATACTTGTATCTTTAATGGAAAAACAATCATTTATTTTATATACATGTAGATATACTCATACAGCCAAATAAAAAATGAAATAAAATTTTGAAAGTTAAACAATCTCAAAAACATCACACGTGTACGCTGCATTGTTAAGAAAGATCACAACATTTGAAATTAAAATCACATTTTCAGCTAGACTTCGTTTTAAGTGAAAATGAAAAAAATCTAAACAAGATATTAATTCTTTATTCGCTCCTGGTTAATTGGCAATATTATACTCATTAAAATCAAATTATAAAACAAAGTACCGTAATGGAATTAATATTTCTATAACATCACATATGGGTAACATTAGTTTTAAAATGATACTAATCGAGCTTTGAATGTGCTTGTTTAGTTATCGACAAAAGATTTTACATTAAAGGCAAGTGATCACTTTAATCCTTAGATCACAATAGTGATTATCTCATACAGTGATAATTAGTGATCATTAGTGTTCCTCCGTGTTACGCATTTCTCATTAATTATCAGAGATCTGTTACACTACCTGGCATGAAATTTATTTTTAATTTCAATATTGTTGTGTCGCAGCTTTTTCCGCATCATGTTTTTATATCGGTTAAATTATCTTTTTATCTATTTCTTTCACAATCATTATTAATGACTCGGCTCTTATGCTTATTTGTAGTGTTTAGAATTATTTCTTTTTTACTTTGAACAAAATTTAACTTTCTTTTGAAAGGTCGCACGAACTTTTTATTTATAATAAATATTATGCTATTAATACATGTATTTCTTAAAGTGGTCTTTATAGAATGATACACGTATATGCGATATATATACAAAAAATTCTGATAAAAAAATGATTTAATTCTAAGTCGCAGCCTAAAATATCTGGCGGGAACCATATATACTGCGTAAGAAGACATTTTTATAAAGAGTTAGATATTTCCGTTTATTATATACTTATGAAATATTGAGAAATATTGATAAAATAAAATGCTTATTTTCATTTTCGTATTTCCACTGCAGTGAAGCATATTTTTTCCTTTCTTTTTTACTGCAGTGAAACATATTTTCCGTATTTTCACAGGCGGTGCTGAATGAAGCATATTTTTTCCGTATTTTCACTGCAGTGAAACATTTTTTCCGTTTTTTGTGTCTTGTCGGACTACTTTCTGCTAAATTAAGCCAATATACAAAATTAAAGGGAAAGTCGTGCAAACTGTGATGTCAAAAAAAAGGAGAAAAATGTATATAATAAATAGAAAATTCAAGTTTTTTTCTATCAATACAGGATTTATTTTCATCTTGTGCTATGAAAATTATCATATTTCACTCGTGGCTACCGCCACTCATAAAATATTTATTTTCATACCACTTGATGAAAATAAATCCTGTATTTATAGAAAAAACTTGAATATCCTCTATCTATTCTTGATATCGTAGTAGCGCGATGATTCGGTGCGATCCTTATCCAGTACATGGCTGTGAATATTGATCTAGAAAAAGCGTATAAAGGGAAGACACTGGCCAACAATCGTTTGATGGATAGAGTTCTTATGTAAGCAGACACATCAATAAATTAAACTATCTTATTCATGGAAAAAAGCAACAACAACAACAAACACTTTAATGTTTTTACAACGATGTAATTGAATTTGGAGGAAATATATTATTTATTCCTGAAATATGACAGTTTTGAACACACACAATAAAATATAATCATCTTTAAACGAGTAAACAACATTACGGTATTTTATGTACAGCAAATAACAAGTTGGAACATTCTATGTTATTTTATCTGAAATATATTAATATAAGATATGTAGTTTGTTCTAGAAATAAAGACACATATATAAATCATAGGATATATTATAAACATATATCATTTTTCTTTAGTTCTTTAAAAATCTCGAACGTTCATTCCATTGTGACATGAATTTACTGATCATCGTTTAGAAAGGGTTATTATACAGACATTTTACCCCCCCCCCCTCACAATCTGCGCATGCGCATTAAAAACCGACCTAATAGCATAGCATCCGATGACAGAAAAGGGGCATTTAATCTTGCGTTTCTGTGACATGTTCAGACAAAAATAACCAAACAAACACTCTCCCGAAAAAACCAACAATTATCATTATTTCTTTTTTTTGCGTTATTCATATTGCATATAAAACAGGGGCATCATGCAATTTACAGCCATTTTGATTAATGAAAAAAATAAATAACAAAAACAAACAAACAACAACAGCAAAAACAAAATCAATATTAAACAATTTATACACGTGTCATTATTATGACGTAATTAAAATTTATCCCATTCAAATTCTAGGAATAACATTATAAAATTCTCAACAAAATTAGAAAGC